CATATGCAGAGCTTCAGGACCTCAGACCAGCTCTTCGTCTGCTTCGGAGGACAGCAGAAGGGAAAGGCTGTCTCCAAACAAAGAGTTTCCCACTGGATAGTGGAGGCTATAGTCTTAGCATACCAGGCCCAACGTTTACCGTGCCCCCTCGGAGTGAGAGCACACTCTACGAGAGGAGGGGCATCTTCTTGGGCATTGGCACGGGGCGCCTTAATAGCAGACATCTGTAGAGCTGCCGGCTGGGCGACACCTAACATGTTTGCAAGATTCTATAATCTCCGTGTAGAGCCTGTGTACTCGCCTCAGTTAGGCAGTAACACCGGACCCGCTCGGTGTCGATCACGCTTGCTGTGCCATTCCCCTCTACGGACCGGATACGTGCGCTTTTCTGCTTCTCAGTTCAGTTCCCCATGGCGAACCCTGTTGAAGTTACTCCCGCACCCTCGAGCGCCAGATGCCATGGTCCAGCACTCGTGTGCATGCCCAAGGTCAGTGTGTAGTGATTCCCCCTTCAGGTGATCCCACATGTGTATTCTTCCAGTGTACGGCATCCCTCACGGTAAGCCTGTGTCTTTCGCTGGCAGACGTTCTCTGCCATCTCTGCTGCGTAGTGATCTCACCCCAGGCGGGCTGAGTCTACTGCAGGGACTCCCATATGTAGTACTGCCCTATGGCCAGTCCATATGTGTACCTCCACATGATACCTCTTATACGCAGGATGTGGCTACCATAACATTCCCCTACTTGGGTACGCTTTCCCAGTGTTATCCAATATCCCACTGTATGGAACAGCAGTCGTGGACACCTCTGCCTAAGCCCTGTCCTTCTTTCGCCCCAACTGGTGTGGGGGGACTTGCCGGCCTTCGCAGGGCACTGGAGGGGGTCAGCAATAGTGGCGTTTTCCATAGAGATCCCAATTCGTCAGTCACGACTGACATAACGTCTCCGTTCCCTCCTTCAGGGCACGAGGGTTACATACGTAACCGAGACGTTTTGTATAGGCAAGTACCACTCACGTTTTCTTCAGAAAATGCAAAAATCTCATCAACAAATGACCTTAAATGCATTTTTAAAACATACAGCATTTAGTGCAAAATTGCATTAAAATGACCTGAAAAGCCATGTTACATGCTCAGTTGTTAATTACAAGCACACGAAAAACATACTGCCATAGTGACAGAGACAAGGTCATAAATCGAGCAAAATGAGGCATATTTACATTACGATCAATACATGGGCACATATTGATTATGTGTGTAGAAGTGCTTGTGGGAATACAGCATTACCATAACTACATACATAGACAATGTCTAAATGCACAGGGTGCATTAGAAAGATATACAAAGTCCTCATTCAAGTGAGTGTGGTTAAACTCATAAAAATATGAATAAGTCATTTATATGTTAAATGTTTCTAAATGAGTCACACTATTTCTCGAGGGAAGGCCATGATTGGACTGCAGATTGATAATAGTTTAGCTAATAATTTTCAACTCTCTTTGAGATTAAAAGTGATATGTGCATTACAGATATATATACAATATAATTATTAATCTAAAATTTGACATCAATAAATGATTTAGATTTTTCTGCACAAAAGTATTGCTAAGTGTGAGTTAATAGTCTCATGTTCTATGTATTTATCCTACATAATGAATCAAATTGAGCTTATTAAGCCAGTTTCACAGAAAGATCCTTCTAAATGTGCCTCCAGCCCTCCAGCTTTCTTCTGTTTAATATTCAGCGTGCCTCTCTCTTTCTTTACATAAAGTTTCCTTTAACCTTGTCTCATTGGCATTTTAACCCAGGTTAATCCAGGTTATCGCTGGCTCAATTATTTCGCTAATGACACAGTCAATTTCTCATTGAACGAGATCTTTTTTTTTTCAGCTGCAACTTTTCTATGAATATTTCCTCACTGACAGTTTGAAAACTCGCCTCCCCTTCCTTTAGTCCTTAATATCAGAAATACCGCTGCATATGACCGGGGTCCCTGACTGCTGCCTTTCTGTGTTCTTTTAATGCAGCGATCATTCAGAAGCGATTGAAGAAAGAAAAGAAAGCAAAGAGGAAATTGCAGGAGGCGCTGGAGTATGAGTCAAAACGGCGAGAGCAGGCAGAGCAATCCCTGAAACAGACCTCAACCACAGAAAGTCTCAGATCACTCAATGGTACGACACCTTACCAGAACACTGACATACTTCAATTTATTAAAAGGGTGTAGAAATTATGTGTTTTTCTATTCCATTTTAAAGTCTTATGAGATGTGTCGAGCATAAGGAATTTGCAGTATTGATGAAGTAAGCTCCATGTTAAATATCTTGTGTGTGTGTGTGTGTGTGCAGATACTTTCTGAGAATAATCTGATGAAATATGCTTCAGTATGTTTGAGAGAACACAGTAAGCAGGTCCTTATCACAGAAAGAAAGAATCTTCATGTCGGGGTCACACAAAGGGTTTTTATTTGTGACAATTACGAGGTGACTGCACCATTTAATATACACTGAATGACTAAAAATATATATAAATGGCCATGAGATATTGATTTACGTTGAAAAAAATTCTAAAGAAAAAAGAGACCATGAAATGATACAAATTAAAATGTGTTTGAGAAAAAAATTGCCAGGAATAATGCCACTATTGACCAATCAGAATCAAGTATTTTATAGAGATTTATAATAATCTCAAATAATATGAGAGAATCCGTGCATATTGATGAAGTGAGATCACAATAATATGCCGTTTAAAAACCATTTCCTCCATAAAAACAAACATTTTCTTTCATAACGAAAAGGCCAAAAATCTGGTTTGCATGTGTGTACTGGACACAATGGACCATTGATGTTATTGTTAATTAAATCTATTAGAAATATTTTTCATTAATTTACATAATGCTGAAATATATGATGAAATTTTCAACTTGAAGTTGAAAGCCCTGGCAACTGAATTATATTGAAGTACTGTAATTACTAAAACTAAGAAAAAATAAAGCTCAATAGAAATAGAAATAAGAAAAATAAGCTCTGTTCAGTATTCGTAACACCACTCATCCATTGGTTGAAGTTTCGCCCTGACCCGAGCGATCCGAGCATATCCACCCTCCGCCCATCACAAAAGATGAGGCTAGAAAAACTTTCCTAATTAAGCACAGATGTCATGGATGTTTAATCGTCATTATCTTTTCATTTTTGCCAGACTCGTTGACCCAGGAGATAGAGACTGACCGCAGCAGTGGCAGAACAGATGCTGAGAGGACAATACAAGGTACGTGTTTTTGAGGAGACTATAAATCTCAGCTCAGCTCCAGTATATGAGCTTCGCTTTATCTCAGCCTGCTGTTCATGCATACAGCCTGCCATCTGGGCTGCAGATCCTACAGTTCAAGAGGAAGGTCAAGATCAGTGAGATCTGTCAGGAGAACATTTCTAGACAGGGAAAATCACACAAATGTGCGTTATGACAATGGCATGGTCTGCTGAGTTGGAGAGTTGATTCTTTGTGAGTGTGTGAGGGAATTTGATGGGATATTAAACATTAAAACATTAAACATTAAACAAGCCCACCGAGTCAATTAAAATTGTACTTTTGTTTTGTAGTTTTTACCAGCAGGGGTATATTAAAATAATCTGATGAAATATGCTTCAGTATGTTTGAGAGAACACAGTAAGCAGGTCCTTATCACAGAAAGAAAGAATCTTCATGTCGGGGTCACACAAAGGGTTTTTATTTGTGACAATTACGAGGTGACTGCACCATTTAATATACACTGAATGACTAAAAATATATATAAATGGCCATGAGATATTGATTTACGTTGAAAAAAATTCTAAAGAAAAAAGAGACCATGAAATGATACAAATTAAAATGTGTTTGAGAAAAAAATTGCCAGGAATAATGCCACTATTGACCAATCAGAATCAAGTATTTTATAGAGATTTATAATAATCTCAAATAATATGAGAGAATCCGTGCATATTGATGAAGTGAGATCACAATAATATGCAGTTTAAAAACCATTTCCTCCATAAAAACAAACATTTTCTTTCATAACGAAAAGGCCAAAAATCTGGTTTGCATGTGTGTACTGGACACAATGGACCATTGATGTTATTGTTAATTAAATCTATTAGAAATATTTTTCATTAATTTACATAATGCTGAAATATATGATGAAATTTTCAACTTGAAGTTGAAAGCCCTGGCAACTGAATTATATTGAAGTACTGTAATTACTAAAACTAAGAAAAAATAAAGCTCAATAGAAATAGAAATAAGAAAAATAAGCTCTGTTCAGTATTCGTAACACCACTCATCCATTGGTTGAAGTTTCGCCCTGACCCGAGCGATCCGAGCATATCCACCCTCCGCCCATCACAAAAGATGAGGCTAGAAAAACTTTCCTAATTAAGCACAGATGTCATGGATGTTTAATCGTCATTATCTTTTCATTTTTGCCAGACTCGTTGACCCAGGAGATAGAGACTGACCGCAGCAGTGGCAGAACAGATGCTGAGAGGACAATACAAGGTACGTGTTTTTGAGGAGACTATAAATCTCAGCTCAGCTCCAGTATATGAGCTTCGCTTTATCTCAGCCTGCTGTTCATGCATACAGCCTGCCATCTGGGCTGCAGATCCTACAGTTCAAGAGGAAGGTCAAGATCAGTGAGATCTGTCAGGAGAACATTTCTAGACAGGGAAAATCACACAAATGTGCGTTATGACAATGGCATGGTCTGCTGAGTTGGAGAGTTGATTCTTTGTGAGTGTGTGAGGGAATTTGATGGGATATTAAACGAGGAACAAGGAGAAAATTAAACATTAAACAAGCCCACCGAGTCAATTAAAATTGTACTTTTGTTTTGTCGTTTTTACCAGCAGGGGTATATTAAAATATTATTAAAGGGAATAGTAAATATCCAAAAATAAATATTCTGTCATAATTTGTTCACCCTCATGTCGTTCCAAACCTGTATTGACTTAATTTCCCCTGCAGAACACAAAAAGAGATTTTACTAAATGTTTTATTGTTTTGTTTGTTTGTTTGTTTTTTCATAAAGTGAAAGTTGTTTTGGACCCCATTAACTTTGACTGTATAGCCAAAACAGTTGAAATATTCCTCAAAATATCTTCTTTTATATGATGTTTTATTAACAAAGGTTGGGAGGATCACATTCAAAAAATCAACCTAAATAACACGAGAGAAGCACATTCAGTAATCAACTCAATTAACAAGATAAGAGGTATATATATACATACATCTCACTATACACTATATACCTCACTTCTAACTATTCCTATCCCAACCTGGGATGGGGGGAGTACTCTGGGTTTGGGTCAAATTCCGAGCTCAGAACCCTCACCTCAGACAGCACGCCAAATATGCATAACCTTTACTCCATTTATTATATGTAAGTGTGAACTTGTATATAGTATATATTGTGTATATTTACCGCGGTAAAGATGGTGTTCAGCTCAATAGGTGAAGTTCAAAGATAAGATTCTAAGATAAGAATCGTTTTAAAGATAAATCCCCTTGACAGTAAGACCCTGCCTATGTTGTGTACCTCAGAGACCAATCCAATATAATGAGCATAATAAGAATCTTCATTATCTGAAGATGACCCACAGTGGAGTTTTCTCACAAGAGCACAACACGCCCACTCAGATAAATACATATGAACTTTATGGGTGTATGGGTATTTATGGGCCTGGTTTAGTCTAGTATTGTTTCACAGAAAACCACTTGCCCATTTGCAAATGTTTCAGTCACACTCTTTTAACTACACCTTAAGTGTCAAGTCGCTCGCCGCTCTGATGTCCATTTTAATTGTACCCAGCAGCACATATTGGCCCGATGTGGAAGATGGATTGTGTCCGAATGTAGTATTAGGACTCTTTTTCTCACTGATATAAACGTTATATTATGCCAGATGTGGGATTGGATATGATAAGCTGGCGAAGGCGACAATTTGAGCACAGTAAAATGTACCATTTGGTACACTTGGTGATAATATTTACAACAAATTCACAGCACTGAAGATTTTTTATACTGTATTTAAACCAGCGAGAAAGCTTCGAAAATTAAATCTGATTCAGAGGTTTTGTTTTGTATTTAAAAAGAGAAAAAAATAAACATAAATCCTTAATGTCATTACTATTTTCCAAGATGTTAAAGATCCAACCTTGGAGAAGAACCTCTGAAAATGTGAATTTGAATATATGTTGATCAACAGAAAAAACTAATATTTGCTTTTAATGTTTTCTAAACTAGAAGAAAAAACAATCAAGTTTAATTTCTATCATTATTGTATATACAAGAACAGAAGATAGGCTAATTCACTCACTTTGGTATTTGTATATAATGTTAAAAGTTGGTTTTGTGTATGCAGTAGATCTATTAGGAGAACAATACCAACGTTTATATTGAATTTATAGATTTGTTTTGTTTCTGAGCCATCATTCTTTCAATTCGCTGCCACTATGGTGAGGAAGCATGCAGGCATGTAAATGTGTTGTCCTGAATTCATGTTATTCAATAAATACTTAACTGTGCTGAACAAATGTACTTAGGGTTTATTCACTCACACCCAGTAAAAGTTGATGAACACTATTATCTTTTTAACAGCTATATTTTCAATTTGCAGTGACATGAATCTAATTCTTGTATGGCTTGAATCTCAAGTTTATGAAAAAGTTGTACAGATCGCCAAATGTTACCGATCATCATTACACTCAATTTGATTTATTACTTTTAGTGATAGGCCCCTTTAAATAATAAGTATTTAATGTATCATATTATAGTTATTTATTATTCTGGTCAATACATGCAACAGGTTCCCTTTGGAAAGTTGCAGACAAAATAGTGTTAGACCATTTCTTAATCTGAGATAAAAAGTGAAGATAACTTGAAAATAATTCTTCATAATTTCCCCATATGGATGATGTTTGATAAAAAATGCATATGAAATAGTTTTCCATCAAATTGCAGAATTGTAATTATAAAAAAATATGGATTGTTGGCAACACGTTGGCAACAAATACATTGATTCTTCTTTTTCTAATGCTTCTTCTTCTTTTGATTATTTAAACAAAATGTTTAAGATTCTTCAGTTATATGACAGAACTTTTAATAATCGCCAGCAAAGATTACAAGCGTCTACTCCAGTCCTTGACATACATAACAGATTTTTTTTTCTTTATAAAAACAAAAATCAAGTAATCATGGCAATACCAAACTGTCACATTTAAATAAAGAGTGAAACAATTCAGCCGGATGAGTTAAATTACACTGTGCTAATTAATGGTAATATCGAATATATTAAATAATAGATTACAGGCTTTTATTGTACCAAGTAGATGATGATGATGGTGATGAGGCACTTATTGGATAATCAAGAAAAATATGTGTTGAAAGGATCCTTTATTAGATGGACGTATCTAATGTTACGGGGCAGCTATTTATACTATAAGCATAGACATTATTTTGTCACACATTTGTCCTCAGTCTGTAACAATTCAAATGTTTATTGTGTTAAACTACATGTTAAAGTATCTTTTACCTCATCAACGAGAACTTGCTTTTAACTTTCTTTTTTTATGTGATGTAAACACTGTAGCAAGATTTATGGACATATTGTTCCTTATGTCTTTCTATGGCAGTAAAGGAAATGTCTAAATATTGAAAGAATGTCTTGTTTTAAAGTGCTTTTCCCTCTTTTCTGATCCTGTCTCCTGTAATGACACAGTATGTAAGAGAGCGTGTGTGTGAGTGTGTTTATGCACACATGCGCAGAAGTGTATCTGTGTGGAGTTGCACGAGTGTGTGTCTGTTTTCTATTCTATGGTGTCATATATGGTAATAAAATATTTGTGATTCAAAGATTATTAGACTAAGCTCTTTTGCGAATGAATCACTGTCATTATACACAACTTGAGAGAGTTGATGTCAGTGTTCAATGCAGCTGAACTCTTGAATCTATGTAATTTTACCATGGTTCATCCAAAACGAATCCTGCGAGTGTATTCTAATAAAGAGACTGAACATTTTCAGCCGCAAAACAAATGTCACGTATCATATTACATAAGCAGCGTGCTTATATTTTAATCTGAAGGGCAATCAAAATTGTTCATGGTTGAGTTGTAAAACATGTGTTACTGAGCAATGACAATATCTAGCAGAATAAAACCACTCATGCTTAGTACAGTGAGCTCACGGCTCTACACAACACATGACTGAGAAATAATGTGTTTCATTCATTCCAGCTGAATAAGCACAATATTCCATGGAAAAGCCACATATTCAAAATGTGTTTGAAGAAAGAAGGAAACAAGAAGAAACTTCTCTTCATTCAAGTTAATTACTTATTGATAATATGTTAGGATTGAGACAACCAAATCAGGGTCATTCCTGTTATGCAGTTCATTTTTATGCTTTCATTATATATAGTACTGGATTAATAAAATCACAGTTCGTACATAGGTGTGGGTTTTACTTTTATGCATATATGGATGTATGTATTTATTTTAAATGAAAGCTCCTGGCTGCTTAATAGATGAAATCCTATTAATTAATAAATAAATAAAAGTATTTATTAATTTTTACTTTGTTAATGAAAATGTGTTCTTGGTAATACTGTTTTAAATGGCAATCATTTTATAAATGATTTGTCCTCTTTCTGGTTTAAAAACACACACGCTCCTTAATGACATCATCCTTCAGGAAGAATTGATGGATTTGATAAATTATGTCCTAATTTTATTTTTGTCTCAATTAAAAAAAAATCAAGATTGCCTTCTGCTTATTGCTTGTTTTAAAATTGATGCACTTTGCACTGTTTTTTAACTAAAGTGAACTAACATTGAACTGACTTGAGCTAAATAAGGAAACTATTGTTTTTCAAGAGTTGCTTTGGAGCAAAATCTAAATTGTCTCCATAATTGAGTTTCCATTATTGGTTCCGCTATTTTCCTGTTTATTACTGTGAAGCTGCTTTGAAACCATCTGTACTGTATAAAGCGCTAAAGAAATAAAGGTGATTTGATTTGACCTTCAAGCTGACACCCTCACATAAACTCGCTCTCAATCCCCTACAGAGCAATGGCTCCTTATTTCCATTGTTAATTATCCTGTTTATTTTTTTGTCATTTTTTAAACTCATCAAGTCATAATTAAGAAGTGCCTGAAAAAAAAAGTTTAATACACATTTTTATGGAAAGACTTCTTTATGGCACAAACAATAAGTCTACAATTTTCAGAGCTCAAAAGGTAATGCATAACAGAAATGACCCATGAGAGCACCTAACTGTTTGGCTCAGGAAACTGTCTTCGAAGCAATGTAGCTAATTGATATTAGTGTTATTTTAAATTTATAAAAGCTTAGGCAGAATTGACACTGAATGACAATTTCCTGTCGTAAGCAATTCTGATGGAAATGTGTTGACACAGCACGGCCGTGCACAGGTCCATTTTGCATGCTTTTGAAAGTGTGGCTGTAACAGAGAGGTTTCGAGATGAATAATTGACTGATCGCTGCATTATTCAACACAGCATTGTAAAAATTCAAGGTCTGGAACGTTTCATGTTTTTCTTCTTTATTGAAAATGAGGTTAAAGTTTCTATCAACCTTGGAAAAACTCCATATAAAGTGGCAATCAATGGTGACTGCA